AATAATATAATCTGTTTAGAGTTAGCCTAGCAAAGAGGAGTTAAAGCTCAAATGAAAGATGAAACTAACCCTTTTTTAAAAAAAGTTTATCTTAGAATATCTTTGTTAAAGATTTTTACCCTGTATTGGTTCTGGGAAGTAGGGGGGGGGTCGTGGTAGGTTGGGGGGAGTTGGGTAGGGATGGTAGGGGGAGGGAGGTAAATATTTGTAAAAGTTTTGTTTTCAAAATTTTCAATTTAAAAAAAAGAATGGGCTGTCTTAATGAACTCTGCAGAAAAGGAAGGAAAAACAGGTCTGATGATCTATATTATGACGGTCACAACTGACGACCATAATGGGCAGGCTCCATTGGGAGACTGTATAGAGCACCCAAAGTGGGTAAGAGACTTGAGATTTTGCTCCGTGAAGGAGACGGTTTCTAAACCGATAAATAAAAATAAAGACAAGATCAAAAGGAAGTGTGCTCAAACTCTTTATCGGTTTATGTGTGCATTGGTGGGGCCCATTTTGCATTTGAGATAACAGTTTTGCCCTCAGCAAGGATTATTTTGAGACATTTTGTGTTTCACACATTTTGAAAAATGCTTTCCCATTGCCACAAGATAAAAATCAATAACCAAACCAAGACTATTTTTTTAAAAGATGGTGATTATAACCCACGAAGAGGACTTATCGTCTTCGTACCACATAGGAGGAGATGTTCACAAGAAACCGGATGTCAAATGGATGCCCTTTGCGGAAAACCATATCGTATTTCCTTTCTTCTTGCTTCCAGTCTCCGTTTTCGTGTGAATTGCATACAATACAGTTCTGATCAAAACGGACATTGAAATGGAAAGCGATATCTGATCTGGGCACTTGGGATCTGCCACACTGAAAGTCAACCTGGAATCTGCAGAGAGAGCAAGAAAGAGAAATTTACAGTTTAACAAGAGTTGGAAGGGACCTTGTAGGTCATCTAGTCGAGGTGGCGCAGTGGTTAGGGTGCAGTACTGCAGGCCACTTCAGCTGACTGTTATCTGCAGTTCAGCGGTTCTAATCTCACCGGCTCNTAACCACTGCGCCACCTCGGCTGCGTCAGCCTGCAATACTGCATTCTAACCTCTGTGCCACCAGGGCTCCAGGTCGCAGTTGTCCCAAAGGTGCTTTTTCCAAAAGGCAACTGGATTTTTTCACTTTTTCTTTGAAAATGTTTTGCTTCTCATCCAAGAAGCTTCTTCAGTTCTGAAGTCCAGTTGTCTTTTGGAAAAAGCAGCTTTGGGACAAGAAGAGAAGGAAGCAAAATAATGGTTGGACTCAGCTAATAAGCTAACCCCAGTTAGTATGTCATGAAGGCCAACTGGGAAGTCACAAACCATATTTTAGAAATGGTAAGGACTAGATTCCTCAGAAACTCTTCAACCAAGTTGAGATAACTGGTTGTGCTGCCCCAGCAGTATATAGCTAGTGTAGGAATTAAGAGCTGTCTCCTTTAAGAAATCACCTCCTGGGAAATGTAGATAGAGGCTGCCTTATGGGAAATGCAGTTCTATGACATGTGATCATATCTATGTGTCTGATTGGCCACTGGGGCGTTCTGCCTGTGCGCAGAACAAAGCTGGTCATTTTAAATGCCATTGTGAACCAGAGAAGCAACTTGTGTGCCTCCTCTCAACATGGGAGCCAATTCATCATCTTTTTACACCACCTGATGGGAAAGTCAGACTGTACTGTAAGGTTTGTTATTAAGAATGCCTGATAATAAACTTGATCTGAATGAGATTCCTAAGCGTGGAGTTAACCGCATACCCCGAGCAAGCCTATAGCGCTGGTGGTGCTTGACTTACAACCAATGGCCTAGTGACGGATCATCCAAAAGGTACTTACAACCTTGTTGCAAAGTTACAACCTCTCTCTCCCAATTGTGTTTTGGGAACATGGCAATCAGTCTGCATCACAGCCATTTGCAGTTTCCCACTGTCACATGACTGTGATTTGCGATGTTTTTATAGGAAATCAGCATTTACTCCCAATTTTTGGCAAAAATGGCCCATAATGAAGAATGGGCTGTCTTGCTTCTCACCTTAGAAAGAGGTGTATTACAATTAAAAAACCCTTGAATGTACTAAAAGAGGAAAAGGCAATTCAAACATGGTTTCAGTATGGCCAATTACAGGCCAGATGGAAAAAAGATCGCAAATCACAGTCATGTGACAGTGGGAAACTGCAAATGGCTGTGATGCAGACTGATT